CATTCTAAATATGTATCTTTACATTTACAGACAAGTGTACCCATCATCCCTCATCAAAAAGACTTCTTCCTGCAACAGATGGAGATAATTACAAAGTTCCACAACTGGTCAAAAGCAGAGAACAAGTGTCTATGAGAATCCCAGCCCTCAGTGACACATCTACAACGCAACCTCTACACCTAAGGCTCACGAAACATAGCAGGAGACAGAGAGAATATTAATGCATCTCAACGCTCACCAGCGAAACTTCCTCATGCAACAGAAGGTGATCAACCCAGAAAGCCACAACTGGCCACAGGTAGAGAATGAGACTGTAGAATGCCTGTCCCTGGGTAGTACACTTATATTAAGCCTTTGCCACTCAAGGCTCAAGGACCATTGCAGAAGTGGGAATGGAAAGTCTGTGAGAACCAGGGGTGGTAGAAGACTGCAAAGAAATGTTTTTCCAGTTGGCTGGGAAGTTACTCACAGGACATTACAGCAATGGTGACACATATATAAGACCCATGCAAGTTCATACTAGACCAGAAACCTAGCATAGAAGAGGGGAAATAGGTCAGAAACCCCAACCTTAGTGGAGGAACTGTTGGTAACTGATCACTGCTGGGTGAGGGAATGTTGGTCTTTTCTAAGGGCGTGATGCTAGGTAGGTTGAATAGGTTCCAGTGAATAGACTCATACTGAGGGACATTTGGGGGCAGAAACTTGATAGGCCTTAACATGCATGACAGAATGCATAAAAACCGGTGTGTGTGGGGGCTATAGGTGGGTGCATATAGGGGAGGGGGTCTAAATATGATCAAGACATAGTATGAAATTCACAAAAACATCAATAAAAAGTTTAAAGAAAGAAAATACTCATGTTCACATCCCAACTTGGACAACATATGCCAGAATCTGAGGGAAGAGACCTTGACCACTGTATTTTATGAAAACTCTACACCTCCCCCCTCAGGGCATGACATGAGAAAACAGCTTTCCTTTAGAAAAACAATCATTTAAGGTGTGTATTGGTTAGCTGTCTTAGAATAAATAATGAATCAGAGTAATTGTTCTTATTTTAATGAAGAAAGGGGCTATGATTCCAGTTCATTAGCATACTCAGAATCAAATAACTCATTTATGTAGAGCTGAGATGGCAACCTGGGGCTGAAGACCCAAATATGCTTGATTTGTAACTAGAAGGTCAGCATAAACACTAAGCTATTTGATTTTGGGGAAATCCTAGTAAGTATTTTAAGTATTCTCAGTTGATTAAAAAGGGATAGAAAAAGGTTTAACAAGTTGTTTAAAGACTGTCCAGCAACCCAGGAGCCTAGCTACAAACCTACCTTTTCTGACTTGTAGTCTAGCCCCATCATGAACAACTATTCAAGGATGCTGTTATACCATTAACCCCAGGTTTTCAAGTGACTTGAATATATAGAAGTATTCCTAAGCTGTTCATAAAGAGAACATATCACTGTCTCTATCCATGCAATAAGAAGTGAGACTTAATTCATGAATCAACTTCCTTATTGCTCTGGAATGAACTTAGAACTTGTTTTTGAAACTGCCAACCAGCTGTGGGCCCTGCACCAGATTTATACTGCCTAGGAGGGTCACTTCAGCCCAGGACTTTGAGACCATCCTGGGTATATAGTAAGAACTTGTCTCTAAAATAAATTAAAATTAAAAAATAAAACAAAATTATACTGCCTGAAATAGGGTTGCTGTGATTTGTGAGGCTAGACAAGGGGCAGGGAATTCTGTCACCCCACTCACAAAAAATTTCCTTTCTCCTTGTATCCTTAGAGGTGACATTCATTCATAGGCAAATAAGATGCCTGAGATAGCTAGACTAGGAGGTTCCAAAAGATTCATAGACTGTGTCTATGAGAATTCCGTAGATTAATTGAAAAATATTCACATAAAGAGTTGTGGGGTAGAGCATTCCATTCCTAGGGGATAGACTTAAAGAAGGGAAAGCTGTAATACTGTATGTGTCCTGTTTGAAAAAGACAAAAAGGAAAAAATTCACAACAATCTTGCCAGAGGCATCTATGGATGGCTTCTCCTGTGTGTTTCTGAGGACCGTTGTCTTAGCACAGTGTTCTTGCTTTATCTTGGCCTACGTTGGATTCTGCGTGTGATGATGCTGCGCTAGCTCTGCTGTGCGTTCTCCTTAAGTTAGAAGAGTGGCAACTTTGAACAGACTCAGGGCATGCCTTCTTTGTCATGGTCAGGAAACAACCCTGGTTATGTAAAACAGATAGCTGTGTGGAAGATGCTATTGTTATCATGTTAGGTTAAAAAAAAACTCTGGAATTTACATGCCATGTTGGCCAAAAATGTTTAATATATGTATCTGTGTGTATCATGGCAGAAATGAAAAACCAGAGGCTTTGGAATGGCTGGGACGCTTTGTGGCATTTTAGAAAAGATTATTTATATAAAAAAGAACACACTATCCTCTGAAGAGGTTACCCAAATTGCCAATAGGGAATCGGGATGCAGACTGCTCTGGCTAAAATAGCCAGTTTTTTGGCTAAAAGTCAAAATGTCCTTGGGCCTCGTAGCAACATACTCTGTTCCAAAGGCCAAAAATGTCAAAAGTATTTGGGAGCTCTTATCTAATCTCTAAAAGATTTTAGGGTTACCTCTTCAGAGGGGGGACTGTTAGGGTAGCAAAAAGCCCCATAAAAGAAAGAAAGAGTACAGGAAGTTGTCAGAAAAAAAGTGATGGGGAGATATGGGAGGTGTTGGAGGGGAGCGAGTGGGCATGGGTTTGATTAAAATACCTTATATGCATGTATGAAATTCTCAATAAAGATTTTTTTAAACAGTTAAAGAAAAAAAGTACAGAGCTAATGGAAACCTTCATTATTCTACCAAAGTTGATCTCTTATG